AAAGAGATCTTTTGCAGTAGATTTGCCTAATGCAATGTGTCAGTTGATTTCTTGACTGCTGCTTCCATGGGCATTGATTGTGGATCCAGGTAAAATGAAATCCTTCACAATGTCAGTCTTTTCTCCATTAATCATGCTGTTGCTTATTAGTCCATTTGTGAGGATTTTTGTTTTCTTTATGTTGAGGTGTAATATACTGAAGGCTATGGTCTTTGATCTTCATCAGTAAGTACTTTAAGTCCTCTTCACTTTCAGCAAGCAAGGTTGTGTCATCTGCATAACACAGGTTGTTAATGAGTCTTCTTCCAATCCTGATGCCCTATTCTTCTTCATATAGCCCAGCTTCTCGGATTATTTGCTCAGCATACAGATTGGATAAGTATGGTGAAAGGATACAACCCTGACGCACCCCTTTCCTGACTTTAAACCACACAGTATAGCCTTGTTTTGTTTAAACGACGGCCTCTTGATCTATGTACGGGTTCCTCATGAGCACAATTAAATGTTCTGGAATTCTCATTCTTCTCAATGTTATCCATAATTTGTTATGATCCATACAGTTGAATGCCTTTGCGTAGTCATAAAACAGAGGTAAACATCTTTCTGGTATTCTCTACTTTCAGCTAGGATCAATCTGACATCAGCAATGCTATCCCTGGTTCCATGTCCTTTTCTGAATCCAGTTTGAATTTCTGGTAGTTCCCTGTTGATGTACTGCTGCAGTCGCTTTTGAATGATCTTCAGCAAAATTTTACTTGTGTGTGATATTAATAATATTGTTCAATAATTTCCACATTCTGTTTGATCACCTTTCTTTGGACTGAGTACAAATATGGATCTCTTCCAGTTGGCATAGATTCTTGGCATAGATGAGTGAGACTCCAGCCTAATGCCTGACCCACGGACTTGGGACTTGCCAGCCTCTACAACCGCATGGCCATTTCTTTGACATAAATCTCTCTCTCTTTCTCTCTCTCTCTCTGTATACGCCTCACTGCTTTTGCTTCTCTAGAGGATCCAGCCTAAGAAAATAAAGGTTTTGATGAGCATAAGCATTTAAATTTTAGGAGGTCCCAGTTATCTAAGGTGTCTTACGTTGCTTGTGTGTTTGTAGTTGTGTTTGGTAATCTATTACTGAAAAAAAATTAGGTCCCATAATTTTGTCCCTATATTATCTTTCAGAAACTTTATAGTTTTGACTTTAACGTTTAGGTCTTTGATCCATTTTGTGTTAGTTTTTGTGTATGGTGTTAGGTATGGATCCTGTTTCATTTTTCTGCACTAAATATCCAGTTTTGCCAGCACTATTTTGTTCAAGAGACTACTTCTTCCTTATTGAACGGACTTTGACCCCTTGTTGAAAATCAGCTGCCCATAGATGGATGGATTTATTTCTGCGTCTCAATTCTATTCCATTGGTCTATGTGTCTGTCATTGAACTAGTATCAGGCTGTTTTGATTATTGTAGCTGTATAGTATGTTTTGAGATCAGGGAGTATGAGGCCTCCTAATATTGCTTTGGCTATACAGGGTCTCTTTTCTTTCCATATAAAGTTGGTGATATGTTTTTCCATTTCAGTAAAGAATGTTGTTGGAATTTGAATTGGGATTACATTATATCTAAAGATCGCTTTGGGTAGTATTGACATTTTCACAATGTTAAGTCTTCCAATCCATGAGCATGGAATGTTTTTCCATTTATGAAGGTCACTTTTAGTTTCTTACAGTAGTGTTTTATAGTTTTCATTGTATAAGTCTTGTACAGCTAGATTTATTAGATTTATTCCTAAGTATTTTATCCTTTTAGGGGGTATTATAAATGATATTTTTAAAATTTCCCTTTCAGAGTTCTCCTTATTAGTGTAAAGTAACCCAACTTATTTTTATGTGTTGCTCTTGAACCCTTCCAATTTGCTGAATCCTTCTGTTAGTTCCAGTAGCTTTCTTGTGGAATCTCTGGGATTTTCTATGTAAATAATCATGTCATCTTCAAATAGAGATAGTGTTACTTCTTCCTTTCCAATTTGGATACCCTTTATTTCCTTTTCTTGTCTTATTGCTCTGGCTAGGACTTGTAGTACAATATTGAATAAAAATGGTGATAGCGGGCATCCTTGAGTTGTACCTGCTCCCAAGGGGAGGGCCAGTTAGTTATCTTCTAAGGATATTTAGCAATAAGAAAAAAAAGTGTTGTATATGTACCTGTGTAGTTACCATTTCCAGTGTTCTTCCTTCCTTTGTGTAGATCCATATTTCCATCTAGTACCATTTTTCTTCTGCCTGAAGAACTTCCTTTAACATGTGTGAGTCTGCCAGTAATGAATTCTTTCAGCTTAAGTATGTCTGGCAAAGTCTTTATTTCATCTTTGTTTTTGAAAGATGTATTCATTGGGTAGTATTGGGTGTAGAATGATAGGTTGACAGTTTTTCTCCCCCCCACCTTTAGTATTTTTTCTTCTACTTGCATTACTTCTGGTGTGAAACATTGTCATCCTTATCTTTTTCTCTCTACACATAATGTGTCGTTTTTCTCTGGCTGCTTTAAAGATTTCCTCTTTGTCATGGTTTGAGTTGTGTCTCCCCCAAAATGTGTGTAGCAACTTGGCTAGGTCATGATTCCCAGTATTGTATGATTGTGTTATCTGATGTGATTTCCTTATGTGTTGTGAACTCTATCACTATGATGAGATTATATGTGACCTCCTTATGTGTTGTAAATTGTATCACTGTGATAAGGTTATACTGATGAGGTTGACAAGATTAGATAGTGTCTTTTAAGATATAAAAGAGAGAAGTGAGCAGAGACACATGGGAACCTCCCACCACCAAGGAAGCAGTGCCGGGAGCACAGCGCATCCTTTGGAACAGAGGTTCTTGTGCTGAGATGCTCCCAGACCAAGGGAAGACTGATCCATCACAAGGACCTACCTCCAGAGCTGATAGAGGGAGAGAACCTTCTCCTGGAGCTGACGCCCTGAATTTGGACTTATAGCCTACAGAACTATGAGAGAATAAAGTTCCCTTTGTTAAAACCATCCACTTGTGGTACTTCTGTCAGAGCAGCACTAGGTGACTAAGACACTCTTCATCACTGATTTTGAGCAATTTGGTTATGATGTGCCTTAGAGTAGTTTAATTCATGTTTTTTGTGCTCTAGTTCATTGAATTTTTCAGATCTGTGGGTTTTGTAGTTTTCCAAAATTTTTTAAAAATATTTTTTCAAATATTTTTTCCATCCCTCCCTTTGGGGATTCCAATTACATGTATATTAGGCCATTTGAAGTTGTACCAAAAAAATTTCTACAGAGTATTCCTGAATACTCTCCACTCTGTTTCTCTAATTGTTTTCCTTTTTCTTCCTCTTTCTGTTTTTCTCTTTCTCTGTCTTTGTCTCTCTTTCTGTCTACACACATGCACACACACATTGTTTTTTCTGAGCCTTTTGAGATTCGGTTGCAAACATGATGCCCCATTACTCCTTAATGCTTTGGTGTGTATTTTCTAAGAAAAAGGACTCTTCTATACTACCATATGTTTGAGAGGAGATGTATTGCACTCAATATTTCAATACATTAACACCAAATATAATAATAAATATTCAATAAGGACAGTTTCATTAAATTAAACTCTTATATTTTAGCATTTTATTTTAGGGAGAGTTTTAAACTGATTGACTCATTAAAATCAGGGATTGATAATTCAAAAGGAATTTATAGTTTAAAGGAAAAATTACAACAATGAGGATCATGAAAATTAAATAAAGAGAATCACACAGGTAACAAGCGAAATACAAAATAGCCATTACATTTTTCTATATTTAGAATAAATGCTTTTGGTTTTGTTTCATCAAACCAATATTAAATCATTGTTATTTATTTTAGTATTATTAATTTTATGCTTTGAATGTGCAGATTGATTTGGAATATATAGCTTTTTTTATTGTCGTAGTTTAAGTGAAAGTTTACATTTCAAGTTAGTCTCACACAAAAATTTGTATATACAGTGTTATGTGACCCTAATTGCTCTCCCTATACTGTAACAGCGCACTCCTCCTTTCTACCCCTGATTTCCCATGTCCATTCAGCCAGCTTCTAACCCTCTCTGCTTTCTCATCTCACCTCCGGACAGAAGCTGCCCATTTAGTCTCATGTATCTACTTGAGCTAAGAAGCATACTCTTCATGAGTATCATTTTATGTCCCACAGTCCAGTCCAATCTTCGTCTGAAGAGTTGGCTTCGGGAATTGTTTTAGTTCTGGGTTGACAGAAAGTCCAGGGGCCATGCTTTCTGGGGTTCCTCCAGTCTCAGTCAGATCATTAAGTCTGGTCTTTTTACTAGAATTTGAGTTCTGCACCCCACCTTTCTCCTGCTCCATCAGGTACTCTCTGTTGTGTTCCCTGTCAGGGTTATAGCTTTTTTTTCTAAGGGTCTGTAGACATAAGGAATTTATATCATGTGTATGTTTAAGTAAGAAGCCCTGGTGGCACAGTGATTAAGTGCTCAGCTGCTAACCGAAAAGTCTACAGTTCGAACCCACCAGCTACCCCGCGGGAAAAAGAAGTGGTAATTTGCTTCTGTAAAGATTACAGCCTAGGAAACCATATGGAGCAGTTCTACCCTGTCCTATAGGGTTGCTGTGAGTCAGTATCGACTCAACGGCACACAAGAACAATATTGTTTATATTATATTTAAGTTACATTAGAGTAGCAATACTTTGTCATCAATCCTGGAGTGCCATATTTTTTTCCTTGCAGGGAGGTCCAGTTATTATTTAAGTCAGAGAAATGCTGTACTAAGCCCATAGATAAAATACGGACCTAGAAAGGAATAGATATGGCCAGTACCCACATTTGTATTGTAACCAATGATGAACTCTAATTTGCTTGGGGTGTTTGTTTTGTAAACGTTTCTTTGTGACTGTGACAAAAGTTCCTGTCTTTCATAACTCACCTTTGCCCATTACCAACTTGTAAAAAATAAGGTTTAAAGAAATCAGCTGGAGCTGCCCGCTTTCAACACCCGAAGTTAGTGATGCAAGGCCATGTCAGCCCAAAGATTCCTCCTGATACTTGGGCACTCCAGTAAGGTAAGGTGCCTCGGACCAAAAGGAGCTTCTGCCAGACTCTCCTATGATTCCTCACCAAGATCGTCATCACAAGGGGCAGATATCCTGAAGGACACACTTTGTCCTTTGAATCTGTGTGATCAGTTCAACCTGTTTTCACTATATCAAATTTAGTAAGTTTATCTTAAACACACATTCATCATTTAAAACTTTTGTGTGTGTGTGTGGTGCCAATATTGTCCTTTTTAATTTTCTTTAGAGTCATAGAAGGATGCTGGCTGGGGTCCATGAACGCACAGAGATTATAAACCATCTGGGAAGGAGGAATCAGTTCATCTGAAGAGACTATCAAAGGAAAACGTAAAAGGAACAAAAACATGGAGCTGCAGCAAGAGGAGGAAATGGATGAAGAAGAGGTAAAAGAGAAGACAACCAGGTCTCAACCCCAAAGTAAGACTTGTTCATGTAGAAGTATATAGTTTCCAAATGGATCACACACATTCATCTAAGTGAACAAAATATGAATGTAAAAATTATACTCATTAAGGACTAATTTAATTATTCAAATTAAAAACTAATATAGAGGCTTCTGCCTAAAATATTATATATAAAGGCGTGACTTACTTGTTACATTCAGTTTATGATTTTCTGTTTTACTTTTATCAGTTCCTCAGGACAGGGCAATGGTGCAAAACGGGTTTACCAGAAATGAATATTGAGTAATCATCTCATCTTAAAATACTTTTGCAACTTGTTATGCAAAATCACAGTTACAGAAAAATTGAGTTCCATTAAGTGCTGTTCAGCAGATTAGTTATACTGTCTCTCTACTAGACTTTTTAAACCCATTCCTTTTCACAGAGAAATTTTTTCTATTTATGTACATAGAGCAACCAGTACATGCTAAACTTAAGTTCCTTACAGCAACTATGCAGATACATCAGAAGAAAGTTTTCACTTAATTAAAATTTAGGTTAAAATAAAAATACAACAGTGCCATTTTAGGAATCATAGGTGTCTTAGTTATTTAGTGCTGCTGTAACAGAAATACCCCAAGTGGATGGCTTTAACAAACAGAAATTTATTCTCTCACCGTCTAGTAGGCTAGAAGTCCAAATTCAGGGTGTCAGCTCCAGGGGAAGGCTTTCTCTCTCTGTTGGCTCTAGGGGTGGGTCCTTGTCTTCTATCTTCCCTGGTTTAGGAGCTTCTCAGCACAGGGAACCCTGGTCCAAAGGAAGCACTATGCTCTTGGTGTTTCTTCCTTGGTGCTGTGAGGTCCCCCTGTCTCTTTGCTTGTTTCTCTCTTTTATATCTCAAAAGAGGTTGGCTTAAAACACAATCTAATCTTGCAGATTGAGTCCTACCTCATTAACATAATGCCACTAATCCCACCTCATTAACATTGTAGAGATAGGATTTACACTACATAAAAAAATCACATCAGATGACAAAATGGTGAACAATCACACAGTACTGGGAATCATGGCCTAGCCAATTTGATAAATATATTTTTAGGGGACACGATTCAATCCATGACAGTAGGCAAGGATAAAATCTCACTAATACCAAAATAATACAGCTTCCACCACTTGTTTTCTACTCCTCCTTGTGTACCATGCTCAGAAAAATAAATACTAAACAAAAAGGAATTTGCTTTTCTATGACTTATCTGTTGTGTCCTATTCTTTTTAAAGTAATTTTTATAAGTTTACCTAGATTTTGACATTGCTTTTTGAATGCAAGTAACTGGATAAGAAAAGCCATTTGCTTTGGAAAGTCCTTATTTAAAAAAAAAATTTTTTTAATTGTTGTAATTAAATGAAGTTTACATTTCAAGTTAGTCTCCCATACAGATTTTTTTTTTTTTACATACGTTGTTATAAGACCCCAACTGCTCACCCCATTCTGAGACAGCACACTCCTCCCCTCCACCCCTGATTCCCCATGAACATGCAACCAGCTACTAACTCTCTCTGCGTTCCCATCTCACCTCTGGACAGAAGCTGCCCCTTTGGTTTCTTGTATCTACTTGACTAAGAGGCACATTCTTCATGAGTATCACTTTATGTCCCACAGTCCAGTCCAATCCCTGTCTGAAGAGTGGGCCTTGGAAATTGTTTTAGTTCTGTGCTGATAGAGAGTCCAGGGGCCATGCTTTCCAGGGTGCCTCCAGTCTTAGTCAGACCATTAAGTCTGGTCTTCTTACTAGAATTTGAGTTCTGCATCCCATCGTTCTACTGCTCCATCAGGGACCCTCTGTTGTGTTCCCTGTCAGGACGTTCATTGCTGGTAGCCAGGCACCATCTAGTTCTCCTGGTCTCAGGCTGATGAAGTCTCTGGTTTATGTGGCCCATTCTGTCTCTTGGGCTAATACTTTCCTTGTGTCTTTGGTGTTCTTTGTTCTCCTTTGCTCCAGGTGGTTGGGACCAACTGATGCATCTTAGATGGCCGCTTGCAAGCTTTTAAAATCAAAGGCATCAATTCTTCTTCGGTCTTCCTTGTTCATTGTCCAGCTTTCGCACGCATACGAGGCTATTGAAAATATCATGGCTTGGGTCAGGTGTACCTTAGTCCTCAAAGCAACATCTTTGCTTTTTAACACTTTAAAGAGATCTTTTGCAGCAGATTTGCCCAACGCAAAGCATTGTTTGAGTTCTTGATTGCTGCTTCTGTGGGCATTGACTGTGGTTCCAAGTACAATGAAATCCTTGACAACTTCAATATTTGCTCAGTTTATCATGATGTTGCTTATTGGTCCAGTTGTGAGGATTTTTGTTTTCTTTATGTTGAGGTGTAATATATGGAAGGCTGTAGTCTTTGATCTTCGTCAGTAAGTACTTCAAGTCCTCTTCACTTTCAGCAAGCAAGGAAGCTGGTTGGTTGATCCTACTTTCCCTAGACAAACTGGTGAAAGAACAAGATGTGCTCAGGGCTTCAGAGTCAAAGCTCAAGTGCCGCATAAATGACCTCAAAATTTCCGCTTGTGCCTTAAAAGAAAGCCTTATTTCTTGTAGTAACAGAGCTGATATTGCTGAAAACCAAACCTAGAGTCTTATCATAAGAGTGGCTGGATTACAATGCCAACTCAACTGCCAACCTCAGAAGTGTGTGAAGTTAAAGTGCGGGCATTGATTGGGAAGAAATGGGATTCTGAAACTTGAGATGGGGACATATGGGCAGATAATCAGGAAGCTGGAGACACTGAGCCCCTAAATTCCGTTGAATCACTCCTGCCAACAGAACCAGCCCTCTCACTCCCATTTGAAGAGATTACTCCATGTTTGTCAGCTAAATCACCCTGCCCAGTAAAACCATTATCCCCTCCACTACCATCTAATGAGATTAACTCAGCTACATCTAAAGTGCCTTTGTCTGAGTCATTGCCTGTTGCATCGCCTGAGGCAGATACTTTACAAGACAATGATGAAGGTTCTCAAAACACTCCCTCACTACCAATTTTGGCTTCTAGACCTATAACTAGACTTAAGTCCCAGTGAGCCCCAAAAGGTGAAGTACAAAGTGTGACCCAGGAGGAGGTACACTACAATCCAAAAGAACTGCTTGACTTTTGTAATAAGTACAAACAAACCTGGGGAATATGTGTGGGAATGGCTATTAAGGGTGTGAGATATTGGTGCAAGGAACATAAAGATGGATCAGTCTGAGTTTATTGACATGGACCCACTAAGCACAGATTCTTCATTCAATGTCTCAGCTCTAGAAGTTAGGAAAGAATCTAATAGTTTATTTGGTTGGGTTGCTGAAACATGGATTACGAGGTGGCCTATACTAAATCAAGTTGAAATACCAGATCTACCTTGGTATACTGTAGAAGAAAGTATCCAAAGGCTTAGGGAAATTGGCATGCTAGAGTGGATTTATCAGGTTAGACTGACAGACCCATACACAGAGTGCCCAGAGGACACATCTTTTACCACAACAGTGAGGAACAAAGTTGTGAAGGGAGCTCCAGAATCCTTGAAGACTGCTGTGATTGCTATTTTATGTAAGTCAGATTTGACAGTGGGAACTGCCTTAACTGAATTAAGACACCTAACTACAATGGGGCTAATTGGACCGCATGGTGGTAGGGGCCAAGTCGCAGCACTCAATTGACAAAGACAAGGTTGGCATGGTTACTGTAATGGACAGCAGAGTCAAAGCAGTAATCAGAATATTCTGACTTGTATGTACTTATGACATTGGCTACTTAGTCATGGTGTTCCTAGGAGTGAAGTAGTCAGGAAATCTACTAAATATTTACTTGATCTGTGTAAGCGGATGAATTCTAAGTCAAGTGAACAGCAGCCTAAATCAAATCGCCAGAATAGAGTCACAGCCCCTCAATCAATTCCCAGACTTGAGCGAGTTTACAGATCTACAACCCCTTGATTGAAGGGGAGGCTGGGTCCCCTTAAGGAAGGACTCCAATTCACTGCCAAAAACTTAAACTGTTAATCTTTCTCCCAGCCTTCCCCAAAGGGATCTACGGCCTTTTATAAGAGTGACTATTCACTGGGGAAAAGGAAATAATCAGACTTTTTGGGGATTACTAGATACTGGCACTGAACTGACACATTCCAGGAGACCCAAAATGTCACTGTGTCCCTCCAGTCCGAGTGGGGGCATTTGGAGGTCAGGTTATTAATGGAGTCTTGGCTCATGTCCATCTCACAGTAGGTCCAGTGGGTCCCTGAACCCATCCTGTAGTGATTGCCCCAGTTCCAGAATGCATAATTGGAATAGATATACTCAGCATCTGGCAGAACCCCCACATTGGATCCCTGAAAAATAGAGTAAGGGCTATTATGGTAGGAAAAGCCAAGTGAAAGCCATTAGAACTGTCCCTACCTAGGAAAATAGTAAACCAAAAGCGATACTGCATTCCTGGAGGGATTGCAGAGATTACTGCCAGATCAAGTACTTGAAGGAAGCAGGGGTGGTGATTCCCACCACATCCCCATTCAACTCACCAGTTTGGCCTGTGCAAAAAAACAGATGGATC